AACCATGCTACCATTTTAAACACTATTTTTAGAGTTTTACTTTGCTCTAGATAATTGGTTTCTAGATTTTTCCAAATTTTCCATTAAAAATATGAATTAATTTTAGGCTACCAAAAAAGAATATAAAACCAGATTCATGTTTTTAAAAAATCACACATGCAAAGAAAACATACTGACATTTGCTGGCGCCTAACCCGGCAGACTGCTTCACTTCAAGGTCTCTGAAGGATCTAGTTTCCTTCAGTCAGAAGGACACAGATTAGATCAGCCTCAAGATGGCACAGGCAAGAGGGCCAGGAGGGTGACGGTGGGGATGCGAGGTCAGAAGCAAGATGGGAGCAGAGACAAGGTGGCATCCTCATCTCCCACTTCCCAGCGAAGTCCTTCCCACGCCTCCCTCACCACATCATTTAACCCAACCAAGTTTTTACAATCCTGAGGGTATCTCCTTGGTGGCTATCACTTACCTTCTAAAACTGGCCCCATCGATTAGTCAACCAAGAAACTGTTAAATGTCCACATTATTTGCAAAGTGCTGTGGCAGATACTGAGGGATGGCGGTAGGATTTAAAAGACTATAACATGGTCCCAGCCCTTACAAGGCCTACAGTCCATTTATGAACTCAAAAGATAAACCCAGCTGGGCATGGTGGCACATTCCTGTAATCTCAGCCCTGTGAGAGGCTGAGGTAACAGGATCACTTGTCAACTAAGAGATCAGCCTTGTCAACTAAGTAATTTAGTGAGACAATGTCGCAAAATAAAAAATTTTCAAAAGGCCAGGGATGTAACTCAGTGCAAAGGCCTTTGGTCCAATACTCAGTTCCATTAAATAAATAAAGGAACAAACCCAAGAGCGTAGGCCAGGGCCACTGACAACCGAGACAGCAAAACCTCAGCCCAGTAACCTGCCATAAGCCCCACCCTTGGGAGGTGACCTTGTGCCAAGCCTGAAAGGATGAACAGATGGGGAAACGGATGGGGAGAGCAGAGAAAATCAGGACAACCAATACTTTTCAAGGACTGGGGCTGCAATATGGAGGCTAAGGGTACTGAGGTATTTCAGCAAGTATATGGGTTTGCTGGAGGAGGCACAGGCACAGGGCTGGGTGAAAGTGATAACACAGGATACGCCTGCTGAAGTGGGCTAGACAGGTCCTGACCATAGCCTGAAGGCTGGACCATGATCCCTTAGGAAGCCACTGAAGGATCTGGGGCCTCTGGAAGTCGTCGTTTTCCACTCAGAGAGCTGGAGCCATAGCATGATCAGCAGAATGGAGGAGACCAGAAGCTGGCACTTGGTTACAGAACAATACCACAATGGCTCAGCGTAAGAAATATGGGCCAGACACAGCAGTCATTGGTGGGAGGCCTAGTGGAAAGAATGGTAGAGCAGCTGCAGGAAAAATTCTGGAGGAGAAAAAACTAAACCAACCCAGTGTACTTCTCTACGCCAGCATTTCCACTTGCTTTTTAAAATGTCCTTCACAGATGCACTGAGAAAAGCGAAACAGAACCTGTAGCTGCTTTGCAAAAGGCAGGATTCAGGAACTAGGGAAGAAGACAGAATTTTGGGTCTCAGAATCCAGGGTCTCAGAGTGGCCACTCACAGGCATCCAAGAAAACCTGTACCATCAGTGAGACAGCACGGAGATGGTTGTGCTCAACAGCCACGGAAGGTGGAGCCCTCCACCAGTCCCTCCTGCTGGACCTGCCCAGGAGTTCACAGGCCAAGTTTACAAAACCTGAGAAAAATTTTAAATGTTAGCTCTACTTTACATGAGAAGAGTTGGACCCCCAAGTTCATACTGTTCATAGTGTGATCAAAAAACATGATTAAGTTTTATATTTAAAAATATATTATAGTACAAGTGCCATAAACCCTCTTTGGGATACTCCCCTTGATTCAAATACACCTGTCCCATTGTTCATGCCACTTTCTGTAGCAGTTCTGGAAGTCTTCTTTCATTAGGGTCTGTAGTTGCTCTGCGGTGGCTGCCTCAATGTCTTGAATCCATTCAAAACATTTCCCTTTCATGGTTCACTTTGACTTTAGGTTCCAGATCTAGTGAGTCAGGTGGATCAGGATGTACTGTCAGCTTTTTACAAGCCTACCTTTCCACTGGATGGCACTCGGCAGCAGCATTCACCATATTTTTTATTACACCTCATAAGGACACTCACAAAAGAGGACTTCTAGAGCTGCTTCAAACATGGCAAGAATTGTGGGCTGAGTGTGCTAATGGTAATGCATCTTCTTTTACTATAATTTTAAAATTTGTATTTAAATATTCACAGTCATGCCCCATATTCCCAGCACGCAGTTCTTGCTGAGGAATAACGAACACTGAGGTGAAGATCTCCTTCTCCTCCTTCGGCAGCAATGGGTGGAGACAGGTGCAGAGCCAGAAGTCCCATGAAGTCCAGGCCCACCTCACCAGGCTCTGCGAGGGAAGTCCTCTCATCCTTCACCCAGTCTCCTGTTGCAGCAAAATATCCCAGCAGGCTTTAGGCATCGACAGATGGGGCGCGCCACTCGCTACCCAGAACAAGAGCAGGCAAAGGATAGAGTGCTTGAGGGCAGGCAGAGAAAGGGAGGGTCTTCTCCATTTCCAAACTTTCCCTGCTCTGCTCCTCTTGGTTTCATGTCTCTACAAACTAGCTCGCAGAGGCCAGAAAGATAACATCTGCCAAGTCCCAGCTTGCACTCTATCTTGCCCAAGAGGAACTCTCCATGGAGCCTTCCTGCCAAGTAGAGGCTTCAAGGAAAGAAATCCCAGCCTTCCCATCCCAAAGGCCCTGACTCAACCAGTCTGCAAACTGTTTACATGGCAGATGGTCACAAAGAAAGAAACCTGACCCTCAGCCTTGGGAAGCAAGTCTCTGCTTCTCAGAAGTCCCTCCAACCAGCTGGCTCTGGAGAAGAATGAGTCTTGCTTGGCGTGGTGTAGGCAGGAGAATGTCAGGCACAGAAATTCCAGCCACAGGCTTGTCAGAGGCCAATTCCCAGGCTCTCTTCCAGACCTACTGGGATGCGCTACCCAGAAATCTGTGTCTTACAAGTGATTTCTGATGCATATCGCAGGTGGGATAGCCACTAAGAGCCCCCGCCCTGGAGCTGGATGGTCCAGGGTCAATTCCAAGCCCTGCCATTCACTGGCTGGGTGAGTGGGAGTAAGTCACTCAAGGATAAAAGTAAGAGCACCTATCTCATAGGTTGTCACAAAGACTAACTGGGTTCGTGCATGCCTCCACATTCAGAAAATACCAGGTAGAATTGTATTATTTCCTACCCGGGTGCTTGTGGCCACAATACATGTAATGTTCCTAATAGAAACTAACACTCAAATGGCCTGAACACCCACAGAACTCAGGCTATTCTTTGGGTCCTATGGATGTGTCTGCAGCAGCTATCTGCAGAATAAGGCCCACTCTCCAAGTCTTCTAAATCCTCCAGGAATGAACTGCAGAGTTTTGCTGGCTTCTGCTCAGTTTTGTTTTTAGGTACTCAGGAGAAGACCTTCTGTGTGACCTCAGCAGGCCGCCCTGATCGCCCGGGCATGCTACCTACGAAAGGCAGGGACGGGACTACCACTTCCCACTGCAGACACCAGCTCAAGGCAGCCCCTGGGTGCTTAATGATGCCAAAGAGACTACTGCGTCCTGTCCTGTGTGCACACCTGGCCACATCCCCGAGGGATTACTCAGACAGAGCCATGAGAGAACAGTCTGACCTCGCCCTTCTCCCTGACCTCCACCATCTGCCACCAGGTTCAGTCTCTAACTTTCACCACAGCAAAGACAGCGAAGTCCAGCTCCCAACTTTACACAGGTTACAGCTGTAATTGCAGCTCCACAGATTTTTCCAACAAACCTAACGCACCTTATAATGAGGAGAAAAATAGAGACTGAAGTTTGTATTCAGTGGCTAAGAACACAGCGCTGTGGTCAGACAGGCAGGGGCTCTCACTGCAAACTCTACTACTTCCTAATAGGACACCAGGCAACTTAGTTGACCGCTTCCAGCCTTGTTTTCTCATTTCCCATATGGGGACGGGGTGGAACCGCTTTGGACTGAGACGAACAATCTATGAGATAATGCAACTGCGCTGCCTTCCCCAGCACCACCTGACACGCGGCAGGAATTCCATCAGTTATTTATTATCATTATCTCTATGAGTATCTACAGTTCTGGAACGAACGTGTAGTAACAGGAGTTAGAAGCTCAGGCAGGAAGCCTGTAGCTAAGCGCTGCATCTGCCTTGGATAAATCCATGTGGATCCTTCCTCCAGAAGGTAACACCTTGGGGACAGCAAGTGTCCCTGGGACCAGGTGTAACCAGAGTACATCAGAAGTCTCCCTTTTCCCCTAAACCACTGAGAACACCTTAAATGGGGCTGATTCTGACAACTGTCCCTAGATGGATGCCACACCTCCCTTTGCTACACTCCATGAGCTCCCCATTTCCAGGACTCCCAGTGAACTTTTAACAGTTGCCCCTCCGCACCTCTAGAGAGAAACAAGAAAAGGGTATGGTTTTAAACACCAGCCTCCAGCAGGGCAGCGAGAGAGTTTGCGTTATTAGCTGTGCAGGTAACATTCGTTCAACTCAATACAGAAGCACATCTGCCCCTAGACCAGGGGCCTGGACTTTTCAGACACTAAAACCCACTCATCTTCCACCTCCCTTTTCCTCCCCACACCTCGGCCCAGCCCTCAGTCCCCTCTGGCCATTCCCCTAGTTTCTGCTTTCTGGCTGGAGTCCCCAGGGAATAATTTCCTGCCGGCTCACTGGGACCCAGAGCCAAAAGTACTGACATGTTTCCAGGATAAAACCAAACTTAGAGCCGAGGTAGGAAAAAGAAGCAGGTAGCTTTCTTTCCAGCAGTCCAGGCCTCCTGCCTGAACCAAAGCCAGGAAGGTAAGAGGAAGAGCGGGGAAGCCACGCGTTCCCTGCCTGCTCACTAAGGGACCCTGGAGCGCCATCGCGCATCCCTACCATTCAGCTGCCGGTAGACGATGTCCTCCAGCAGCGACAGGCGCTTCAGGACCGCATCCTGGATGGGGCTGGCGCTGTGCGCGCTGAGGTTGGCAGCCTCGGCGCGCGGCCGGATCTCGTGGAAGGCGTCTCCGCTGCGCACAGCTATGGGCCGGCACTTCGCCAGGAAGAGCACGAAGCCGGCCACGGCGATCAAGTTCAACACCAGCAGCACTTTGACTCTTCTCAGTGAAGCCATCAAACAATCCAGCCGGCCCTCGCCCCGGACCCGAGACCCCTAAGGCTCCAGCGAGGCGCGGGGCAGCGGGGGCTCGTGGGAGCCTCAGACACCTGACCGTGGGCGACGATTCCCTCCGCTGGCGACTCCCCCCACACACAAATGCTCGGGCAGCACAGACGGCTGGGAGGCCCCGGAGGTCGAGGAGAGAGCGCAACCGCTCACGTGGAAGCCTCGGGCTGCAGAAGTGCTCGCCTGCTGGGTCCACGGTGCGCGGCCCCTTCCCAGGCGTCCTGGCGAAAGGCCGGGGGCATCCACTGTGCACTGGCAAGGGGTTCGCCTTGGACCTTGGTTGGACCGGCCGGGCTGCTCTGGGAGCCGCGCGCGTAGGTGACAGGAGCAGGGGAGCGCGCCACTCCTGGGTCTCTCACGGCCACCACCCTCCGGCCGGCCGTCGGCGCGCTCTTCAGCCGAGGACCCGCTCCTCGGAGCGCTCGCCTTTGTTCCGCCC